TGGGAACAATGTGAAATCCCTTCACCTGCATAAACTACTAAAAAAGGGAAGAATAACTTTATAAAACTGGGATGTTTGAATGTGCGTGGATGTGGTGGTAATGATAAAAAAGAGAAGACTGCTAATGTTGTGAAACAAAGCTGAAGGGGGTAGGCAAGTTTCTGTGGGGAGAAATAAATGGGAATGAGCCAGGAGTATCTGAGAGAGTTAGAGATAAGGAAGGGGTAGCAATAATATTAAAGGATCAGTTACAGAAGGAAAAGAGGGAATATAAATGTATAAATTCTAAGATTATGTGGATTAAAATAAGGGTTGGATGCAAAAAAGTGGGTCATGATCCGTGTGCATGCACCTAGAGAAGAGAGAAGTGTAGAGGAGAGAGATAGAAAGATTTTGGGAGATGTTAAGTGAGTGTGTAGGAATATTTGGACCAAGTGAGAGAGTAATTGTGGTAGGGGATCTAAATGCTAAAGTAGGAGAAGCATTTAGAGAGGGTGTGGTAGGTAAGTTTGGGGTGCCAGGTGTAAATGATAATGGGAGCCCTTTGATTGAACTTTGTATAGAAAGGGGTTTAGTTATAAGTAATATGTATTTTAAGAAAAATAGAATAAATAAGTATACAAGATATGATATAGGGCATATGACTAACTCTCCCTCCCCCTCCCCCTGGGTGCAAACTCTCCCTACCCCACATTATCCTGGGTGCTAACTCTCACTACCCCAGGTTATCCTGGATGGTAGCTCTCCCTACCCTGGGTTATCCTGGGTGCTAATTCCCCTTACCCCAGGTTATCCTGGGGTGCTAAGTCTCCCTACCCTGGGTTATCCTGGGTGCTAACTCTCCCTACCCTGGGTTATCCTGGATGCTAACTCTCCCTACTCCAGGTTATCCTGGTACTAACTCTCCCTACACCAGGTTATCCTAGGCTCAAACTCTCCCAACCCCTACCCCAGGGGGCTAACTTTCCATACCCCAGGTTATCCTGGATGCTAACTCTCCCTACCCTAGCTTATCCTGGGTGCTAACTCTCCCTACCCAGGTTAAAAACCCTAACAAATCTTATGTTATTACTAATGGTTATAGTATAAGACAACTTACCTCCATAGGAAGATAGGTGTTCCTACTCTTAGGTGCTACTTGGATACAGTTGAAGGATGGATAGCGGAGATAGTACTTGTAGGTACTCTTGAAGTAGTGGTGTACTGTACAGTAGTACTTCCTGCCTGTCAGATGGTTCTCTGTCTTGAAACTTATTATATCTGCACCAGCTGTGGCCACGTCCACAATCCTGTACACCCGCTTGGTGCCAGAGTGCATCACCCACACCTGTACTGGATGTATGTATCCGAGTATGTGTGTCACCCCCTGGTGCGAGGCATCACCCACCCTTTTCAGGATGTTGTAACACGAGTAGGTTACACTCCCCGGGTGCCAGAGTGCTCACCCACACCTGTCAAGAGTTGAAAACACGAGTATGTGGTACACCCCCTGGGCCGAGGCACACCCAAAAAGTACAAGGATGTAGTATCCCCTGATATGTGTGACACTCCCCGGGTGCCGAGTGCATCACCCACACCGACATGGTGTGTGATACACTGAGTATGTGTGTACACCCCCTGGTGCCAGATGCATCACCCCCCCTGTAATGGATGTGTGTATCACTGATATGGTGTACACCCCCCGGGTGCCAGATGCACCCCAACCCCTGACAGGGATGTGTGTATACACTGAATGGTGCCCACCCGCCGGTCCGAGGCATCCCCCAAACCCCTTACATGGATTGTGTATACATGAGTATTTTGGTACACCTCCTGGTGCCAGATCACACCCACACAATGAATAACTGCTTTTGTAACTAAAACACTGAAGATAAAAAACCCCTGCAACATAACTGGTTACTGTAACTCTCTGCACAGAGAAATACAGACATACAAAGTGAGCTAAAATTGTCACCAGTCAGTTTGGCAGGGAAAGGGTAGGTGACTAACCTAACCCCTTTGGGCAGGAAGGGTAGGGGACAACCTACACTTGGTCAGGGAAAGGGTAGGGGACTAACCTACACTTGGTCAGGGGGGCTAGGGGACAACCTAACTTTCAGAAGGCTAGTGACAACCTACACTTTGGGCGAAAGGGTAGGTGACTAACCACACTTTGGGCAGGGAAAGGGTAGGGACTAAACTACACTTGGGCAGTAAGGCTAGGTGCTAACCTCACTTGGGGCAGGAAGGTAGGGGGACTAACCCCACTTGGGCAGGGAAAGGGAGGTGATAACCTACACTTGGGGAGTAAGGCTAGGGACTACCCCCACTTTGGGCAGGAAGGTAGGTGACAACCCCCACTTGGGCAGGGGGGCTAGGTGACTAAACCCACACTTGGTCATAAGGCAGGTGACTAACCCACCTTTGGGCAGGGAAAGGGTAGGGGACTAAACCACACTTGGGCAGAAGGGTGGGGACAAAACCTAAACCTTGGGCAGAAGGGAGGTGGACAACCTACACTTGGTCAGGAAGGCTAGGTGACTAACCTACACTTGGTAAGGAAGGCTAGGTGACTAACCTACACTTGGTCAGGAAGGCTAGGTGACTAACCTACACTTGGTCAGGAAGGCTAGGTGACAACTACACTTGGCAGGAAGGTAGGTGCTAACCAACTTGGTCAGGAAGGGGTAGGTACTAACCCACACTTTGGCAGAAGGCTATGACTAACCTCACATGGTCAGGAAGGCTAGGTGCTAACCACACTTTGGCAGGAAAGGTGGGACTAACCTACACTTGGTCAGGAAGGGTAGGGGACTAACCTACACTTGGTCAGGAAAGGGGTAGGGGACTAACCACATTGGGGCAGGGAAGGGTAAGGGGCTAACCTACATTGGTCAGTAAGGAGTGACTAACCTAACTTTGGGGAAAGGTAGGGGATAAACCCAACTTGGTCAGGGGGGCTAGGTGTAACCCAACTGGTCCGAAGGCTAGGGCAACCCACACTTGGTCAGGAAGGGAGGGGACTAAACCCAATTGGGCGGGGGCTAGGTGCTAACCTACACTTGGTCAGTAAGGAGGGGACAACCTACACTTGGGCCAAAGGTAGGTGACTAACCTCACTTTCAGGAAAGGGTAGGGGACTAACCTACCTTGGTCAGGAAGGGTAGTGACTAAACCTACTTGGTCGGAAGGCTAGGGGACTAACCACACTTGGTAGGAAGGCTGGTGCTAACCTACATTGGCAAAGGTAGGTACTAACCACACTTTTCAGGAAAAGGGTAGGTGACTAACCACACTTGGTCAGGAAGGGAGGGGACTAACCCACACTTGGTCAGGGAAAGGAGGGGACAACCTACACTTGTCAGGAAGGCAGGGGACTAACCTAACCTGGTCAGGAAGGCAAGGGGCTAAAACCCACCTTGGTCTTTAAAGGGTAGTACAACCCACACTTGGGCAGAAGCTAGGTACTAAACCACACTTGGTCAGGAAGGCTAGGTGACTAAACCCACACTTGTCAGGAAAACAGGTGCTAACCCACCTTGGTCATAAGGTAGGTGATAACCCACACTTGGTCAGGAAGGCGGGGATAACCACACTTGGTCGGAAGGCTAGGTGACTAACCCACACATGGTCAGGAAGGCTAGGTGACTAACCCCCCTTTGGTCAGGGAAAGGGTAGGTGACAACCTCACTTGGGCAGGAAGGGTAGGTGACTAACCTCACTTGGCAGGAAGGGTAGGTGACAAACCCACACTTGGGCAGGAAGGCAGGTGACTAACCTACCTTGGTCAGGAAGCAGTGACAAAACCACACTTTGGCGGAAGGCTGGTACAACCTACACTTGGTCAGGAAAGGGTAGGTCCTAACCACACTTGGTCGGAAGGGTAGGGGACTAACCTACCTTTTGGGCAGGAAAGGGTAGGTGACTAAATACACTTGGTAAGGAAAGGCCAGGGAAACCCACACTTGTTAGGAAGGGGAGGGACTAACCTAACTTGGGCAGGAAGGGTAGGTACTAACCCAAAACTTGGGCAGGAAGGCCCGGGGACTAACCTACACTTGGGCAGGAAGGGCCCGGGGACAAAACCTCACTTGGGCAGGAAGGCCCGGGACTAACCACCTTGTCAGAAGGCCCGGTACTAACCTACACTGGTCATAAGGCTAGGTACTAACCTACCTTGGGCAGGAAGGGCCCGGGGACTAACCTACACTTTTTCAGGAAGGCTGTGACTACCTACACTTGGTAAAAGGCTAGGTGACTAAACCTACACTGGTTAGGAAGGGTAGGGGAAAACCACACTTGGTCAGGAAGGCTAGGGGACAACCACACTTGGTCAGGAAGGCCAGTGACTAACCCCACTTGGGAAGAAGGTGGTGACTAACCACACTTGGTCAGGGAAAGGGAAGTGACACCCACACTTTGGGCAGGAAGGCCAGGGGACTAAACCCAACTTGATCAGGGAAAGGGAGGTCTAACCTACACTGGTCGGAAGGCCGGTGACTAACCTACCTTTGGGCAGGGAAAGGGTTGGGGCTAACCTACACTGGTCAGGAAAACCAGGAGCTAAATACACTTGGGCAGGGAAAGGGCCAGGTGACTATCCTACACTTGGTAGGAAGCTAGGTGACTAACCTACACTTGGTAAGGAAAGGCTAGCGTGACTATAACTACACTTGGTAAGGACAAGGCAAGGAGACTAACCTACATTTGGTAAGGAAGGCTAGGTGACTAACCTACACTTGGTCAGGAAGGCTAGGTGACTAACCTACACTTGGTCAGGAAGGCTAGGTGACTAACCTACACTTGGTAAGGAAGGCTAGGTGACTAACCTACACTTGGTAAGGAAGGCTAGGTGACTAACCTACACTTGGTAAAGGAAGGCTAGGTGACTAACTTCACTTGAGTAAGGATAGGTAGGCGGACTAACTCCTCCACTTTGTAAGGAAGGCTAGGTGACTAAAATACACTTGGTCAGGAAGGCTAGGTGACTAACCTACACTTGGTAAGGAAGGCCAGGTGACTAACCTACACTTGGTAAGGAAGGCCAGGTGACTAACCTACACTTGGTAAGGAAGGCTAGGTGACTAACCTACACTTGGTAAGGAAGGCTAGGTGACTAACCTACACTTGGTAAAGAAGGCCAGGTGACTAACCTACACTTGGTAAGGAAGGCTAGGTGACTAACCTACACTTGGTAAGGAAGGGTAGGTGACTAACCTACACTTGGTTAGGAAGGCCCCGTGACATAACTGCACTTGTGTTAAGGAAGCTAGGTGACTAACTACCACTTGGTAAGGAAGAGACGTGATAACCTAAATTGGTATGGAAGGCCAGGTGACTATAACATACACTTGGTTTAGGAGCTAGGTGAACAACCTAACTGGTAAGGACAGGGCCATGGTGAACTAACTCCTACACTTGGTCAGGTAGGAAGGCAGTTGACATAAACCTACACTTGGTCAGGGAAGGCCCAGGTGGGGGACTAAACCTCAATTGGTCAGGAAGGCCAAGTGACTAACCTACACTTGGTCAGGAAGGCCAGATGACTAACCTACACTTGGTCAGGAAGGCCAGGTGACTAACCTACACTTGGTTAGGAAGGCCAGGTGACTAACCTACACTTGGTCAGGAAGGCCAGGTGACTAACCTACACTTGGTCAGGAAGGTAGGTGACTAACCCTCCCCTACTTGGTCAGGAAGGCCAGGTGACTAACCTACACTTGGTCAGGAAGGCTAGGTGACTAACCTACACTTGGTAAGGAAGGCCAGGTGACTAACCTACACTTGGTAAGGAAGGCCAGGTGACTAACATACACTTGGTAAGGAAGGCCAGGTGACGAACCTACACTTGGTAAGGAAGGCCAGGTGACTAACCTACACTTGGTAAGGAAGGCCAGGTGACTAACCAACACTTGGTAAGGAAGGCCACGTGACTAACCTACACTTGGAAAGGAAGCTAAGGTGACTAACCCATACACTTTGGTAAGGAAGGGGCCAGGTGACTAACCTACACTTGGTAAGGAAGGCCAGGTGACTAACCTACACTTGGTAAGGAAGGCCAGGTGACTAACCTACACTTGGTATGAAGGCAGGTGAATAACCTACACTTGGTATGGAAAAAGGGCCAGGTGCGTGACTAAACTAACTTGGTAAGGAAGGCCAAGGTGGACTAACCTTACACTTGGTCAAGTAGGCAGGTGATTAACTACACTTGGTCAGGAAGTAGGTGGAACTAACCCACTTGGTATGAAAAGGCCAGGTGACTAACCTACACTGGTATAAGATGGCCAGGTGGGTAACCTTCACTTGGTAAGGAAGGTCCAGGGTGACTATCCTACACTTGGTGAGGAAG